AATCACAAGATCAAGTGCAGCAGCAGTGTCTGTCCAACAGAGAGTTAATATGGATGATAATATATGCCTGGTTGGAGTTAGTAATCAGGGAAATTCTAACCAAATCGATACTAGTTTTCAATATTGAAATTTAGCCATAGACTCGAAAGAGTTTTAACTTAAACCATTCAGTCTTCATGAATGAAATCACTAGTTTTTAAAGCATCATTAATAGATAATATAAATAGGAATCAGATAATGTTAATGTTCCTACGAGGGAAGAAGAATAATAATATGCGGCAGGAATCAAACAATAATAAGTAATAATCAGAGAATAATGAACGATCATTCCACAATAGAAGTCTGAATTCAGATTCTGGTCGTAGTTCTGCATCCAGTAGTTCTTGTAGAATAGACAAATGGAATATTACATAGGACGGTTCTCAAGACGTTAGTGATTTTCTGTTTAAAATTGATACTCTTAAAAATCGATGGAATTGCCCATCTGAACAAATAGTAGCAAGTTTTCATACGTTTTTGAAAGGCAAAGCTGAGACTTGGTTTGGTCTTACTTAAGACAAAAACCCTAATACATCCTACGATCAGCTCAAATTAGCAATTATGAAACAATTTGGCCAAAGTGAAAACGAATGCGACAAAATAGTTAAATTGATAGAGAGAAGACAATTGCAGAAAGAAGCATTTGACGATTATTTTACGGAAATGATAGGAATGAATTCTAGATTATCACAGCCAATGAGTGACAATAAGATGATTGATCTTATTAAAAATAACGTAAAAGAGTCCTTGGGAACTCTTCTTTTCTCATACGACTTATTTAGTTTAGACCATTTAAGGGACGCAGCAAGAAAGGCTGAAAAGTTTCTAGCTAAACAGCATCAAATAAAAATCCAAAAAAGATATGTGTCCGAATTAGAACAGTCAGAAGTAGATAGCGTAGAGGAAGAACAGTGTGAAGTTGCAGCTATACAAAACAAAAGTTCCAGCAAAAGGTTGGAAGGGAAATTGACACTAGTCACTATAAGTGCTGGAACTGTGACCAAATTGGTCACTCATTTTACGATTGTCCCTCTGAAAAGAGAAATTTGTTTTGTTTCAGATGTGGGGAAAAGAATGTGTCAACTCCACAATGCAAGAAACACCAGAAAAAACAGGTCTCTGAACGAGTAGGAGAGGGGAACTCGTTCCTATCTATAAATCCCTCAAAGAAGGATGTGTAGAAAATGCGAATTTGATTCCGGAAAAATCCAAACACAAAGATATAGAATTAGATTTAAATTTTGAAAATAAAAGTTATAATGTAGATAATACTAATAAATATTCGTTACTACATAAAAGGAAGCTAAAATATGAAGATATCAAATGTCAAAACTTCTTTAAAAACAACATCCCTAGAAAAATTTTTAAATGTAGACAACGATTTAGAAAGAGAAAAGATTTTGCTAAAATTATAGCGTCTACAATAATTGATGATCGAAATGACAACAGGCCTTATGCTAAAATCATGCTTGATAATATAGAAATGTTTGCTTTATTAGATTCAGGTGCTTCAATAAGCGTTTTAGGGAACAATTGCCTGGACTTACTTTCAAAACTAAATTTAGATTATACAAAAGTTCACAGCTCACTCAAACAGCAGATGGAGGAAATCAAAGAGTGATAGGTTTTGTTAGAATTCCTGTAACATATGGTAAAACTTCAAAAACAGTACTTTTCTACCTTTCACCTAACCTGAGCCAAAGTGTTTACCTTGGTATCAACTTCTGGAAAGACTTTAATATTGCTCCACAACTTTTTGTATCTGAATTGGCTTTAAATAGCGAAAGTTTCTCTACTGACAATACACACAATTTAAACGACCTAGACATGTATAAGTTAAGACAAGTCATAGAAGAATTTCCTTCCTTTAGTAAAAGTGGTCTTGGTAGAACATCACTAGAAACACATACAATAGACACAGGTGACTCAGAACCATTTAAAATTAAACATTACCCACTTTCACCACCTCGCCAACTAGAAGCTTATAGGGAACTGGATCGTATGCTTGGACTAGGTGTTATTGAAGAAAGTAACAGTCCCTATTGTAGTCCAGTTGTTTTGGTAAGAAAACCGGGAAAGGTAAGACTGTGCTTAGATTCTAGAAAGTTGAACACACTGACTAAGAAAGATGCTTATCCACTGCCTCATATCAACGGACTTCTTAGTAGATTACAGGACACTCATTACATTACAGGTATTGACCTCAAAGATGCATTTTGGCAAATACCTTTGGATGAGTCTTCTAAAGAAAAAACGGCATTTGCAGTACCTGGTCGGCCACTGTATCATTTTACAGTTATGCCTTTCGGGCTGTGTAACGCCGCACAGAGAATGAGCAGATTAATGGATAAAGTCATACCTAGCCGACTGCGTGAAAAGGTTTTTATATATTTGGACGATCTATTGGTTTGTACGTCAGACTTTGAGAGTCATTTGGACATTTTACGAGACGTTGCTAACTGTTTGAAAAAGGCCAATCTGACTATAAATGTGGAAAAAAGTAGATTTTGTCAAAAAGAAATAAAATATTTAGGATACATAGTAGGACAAGGATGCTTGAAAACGGATAAATCGAAATAGAAGCTATAGAACAGTTTCCAATGCCAAAGAGCCCAAGACAAATTAGAAGGTATATAGGTATGACAGGGTGGTATAGACAATTTATTCCCAATTTTGCAGATTTAGCTGCACCCCTGACAGATTGTCTGAAAAAATCAACTACATTTAAATTAACTCCTGAGGCAGAATTATCGTTCCAAAAGTTAAAAGAAGCTTTAGTCACAGCTCCTGTTTTAGTGCAGCCAAACTTTAATAAGCCTTTTACTATACAGTGTGATGCATCGCGTGTAGGAGTTGGTGGAGTTCTAACTCAGACAGATGATGAAGGAAAAGAGCACCCAGTAGCATTTGTTTCCCAAAAACTAAACAAAAATCAAAAAAATTATTCTGTTACTGAGTTAGAATGCTTAGCTGCAATAGTTTGTCTTAAAAGATTTCGTCCATTTGTTGAAGGACTACCGTTCAAAATAGTCACAGACCACTCAAGTTTGAGATGGCTCATGTCCCAAAAGGATCTGTCGGGTAGGTTAGGGCGTTGGAGTTTAAAGTTACAGTCATTTGATTTCGAAGTCGAATACAGAAAAGGATCAGCTAATATAGTACCAGATGCACTATCTAGACTAGACGTAGATGAGCTGTGTAGTTCTGAAATTCCTATGACTACAGAAATTGATCTGCAATCAGAGTTTTTTAAGTCTAAAGAATATACCGAAATGATATATGAGTTGAACAAAAGGCCACTAAATTATCCGGACACTATTGTATCAGATGGTTTTGTGTATCAAAGGGTAAAATTTAGGAAAGGTGAATACGAGGATGAAGATTCATTATGGCGATTATGGTTGCCAAGGGAACTAAGAGAACAAGTCGTAGTTAACAATCATATTACATTCTCATGTCATGGAGGTTTTTCAAAGACACTAAACCATATAAGACAAAAATATTTTTGGCCAAATATGGCTCGTGATATCAAAAACTATATAGCCAAGTGCGAAGTTTGTAAAGCAGTAAAACCTGCTAATCAAATATCAAGACCTCCAATGGGCCAGGCTATGTTAACTGAACGCCCCTTTCAAAGAATTTATATGGATCTACTTGGTCCATATCCAAGAACAAAAGTGGGAAATTCTATGGTATTTGTCGCATTAGATCACTTCTCCAAATATATATTTTTAAAGCCATTGAGAAAGGCAACCAGTTCAGCAATAATTACATTCTTAAAAGAAAACATATTTGATCAATTTGGAATTCCTCAATATATTCATTCGGACAATGGGAAACAATTTGTTTCTACACAGATGTCAGATTTTCTAACTGCGAATGGTATTAATCATATCAAAACAGCATTCTATTCCCCCCAGGCAAACATCTCTGAAAGAACTAATAGAGAGTTTTTAGTCAAGCTACGTGTCATGTTAAAGGATAAACAGGACAAGTGGGATATGCACGTTTCAGATATAGCATGTATCTTAAGGAGCGATTATCATGATGCTATAAAGTGCTCACCTTACTTTGTGTGTTTGGATACAACATGATTCAACACGGTAATACGTATCCCATAATTGAGAAACTTGGTTGTCTAACAGAAGGACAATTTAATGTTTTATCACATGATGCTAGAATGTCAAACCTACATGCTAAAGTCAAAGAAAATTTGGCAGTTGCTCACGAAAAAGCGGAAAAAACTTATAACTTGAGATGTAGAGATGTACAATATAAAACGGGTCAAGAAATCTTCAGAAAGAATTTCCAACAATCGGACTTTAAGAAAGGAATTAATTCAAAATTAATTCCACCATATATAAAGTGCAGAATTAGAAGAAGAGTAGGATCTTCGATGTATGAACTAGAAAACCTTAATGGTAAATATATTGGCATTTATCATGCCAAGGATCTTAAATCCTCCTAATAGTTACTTGCCCGGCTTATAATTTACTCAGGGTGTGGTCGAGTCCCACGTTAAATCAGAATCTGTTTTCCTTTTTTCCGATCGTAATAAATTCCTCCTTCAAGAAGGTTTGTGGCAGATTATTCTTTTATTATTGAATTAATAATAGAAACAATTGAAACGAAATAAATTGCTTGGTCAGAATAGTTTTGTCCCACTGTAGTATATTTTTATATGAAATGTTAACATTTATTAAAACTAACAACTTCCTTCTTAAATACAAAGGAATTAAC